AAATCTGTCAAGTGCCGATGTGTGCTTGTGTGTGTGCTGCCAGCACATACGCAGGCATAGCATAACGTGAACCGTACATTTGTTTGGAAACCTTTATATATTTTTAAAATCTGGCAACTCTGCTAGACAAGTCAATCCAATCATTTTAGTTACAACGTGCTGTGCATTGCGATTTTTTAGTGAACAATTTATCTTCAAACATCGGCGTTTTACAAGTAAGTAATCAATTTTTTTTTATTATTTCATGTCTAATTGGTGTTTGTTCTTTAAGTTAGATGATATTATAGTGATTGTTTACTTGGGTTTGTCAGCGAAAACGACAGTTAGTGATCATCCATATATGGCTTCTTATGCATTATCGTAAAAAATATACAGATTTGGTCGAAGCCATATATGGCTTTGTATGCATTTGAAGAGTAATTTATGTAGATATTATTTGTTTTCAGAAACGGATCCCCAAAGGTTTTATGGTTTGGGGTTCAGTTCTAAATATGTCAACACTATTCCCAATGATGGATAGTTCAGCGACGATGATTATACTAATTCAGACGAAAAATATTTACCTTCTTCGTCTACCTACAAAACAACGTCTTCAGTCCGTAGTAGTATCTGAAACTGATTATTCTGACATAGAGACATCTGATGCCAAAAAGACAATTTATTGGAATCAGCGTATTTATGTCAATTTTAAAATTACCTTCTAATAGACTCTACTGGAACTCACGTTTACCCCAACGACTTGTATACGAAACTATGAGTTGTAATCGGTGGGAAGAGATTAAAAAATGTTTACATTTCAATGACCACAATAAGTTTATACGAGCTGGTTTACCCGGTCACGAAAAACTTTTTAAAATAAGACTTCTCGTAGAGAACAAGAGAACATACGTGAACAATTATTATTAGTTCCTAAAGAAGAGTATCTCTCTATTGATGAACAAATCATACCTACTAAAACAATACAATCTGGAGTTTAGTTTCAGGAGTTTAGTTTAGTTTAATGGAGTTTCAGGATTCAGCTACAATTTTGATATATTTGTTGGAAAGCAAAGTGCACCTGATGGTGCACCAGATCTTGGAGCAAGTGGAAATATAGTTACAAAACTAACTATGGTCTGTTTTTTTAACCAGGAGGAGTAATTCAAATTTTCCGCGCCGTAATGCTTGTTTGCAATTGGTCCAACCACAGGCAAGTTTACTCCTCTAAATTATGACATATTGACACCAATGACATTTGTGAAATTTATTTATTATTATTATTTTTCTCTAATATTTAATATATAAATCGATTTCTGACTCTTTAAGTTGTTTGTAATAACTTGGACTTGATGATAGGCGAATAGTATTTAATGTGATATTTTTCTAGAAGATATTTATACTAAAGATAGTTTAAAGTGTTTATAAATTTATAAATGTATGTTATTTATATCTAATTATCATAAGAAAAACGCCAACTATCTCTTAAATTTAGTGTATACTTGTTAAGAAGCATTTCCATTTTGTTTTCACCACAATAAAAGAACATTAGTAAAGTAATGTTGTGTTTTAGTTTGATTGTGTGATACAGTTGGTTTTGTTCTTCCTGGTTGTAGATACCATAATATAATAGATTGGATTTGTTGATTATCTCACAGAAATCCGGTATTTTTTAGTAAATTTTATTTGTTGATAACAAATGGGTCAAAATTAACCAAGAATCCAGCGTTAAAGAAATTGTAAGTACACACTTATTTATACAAAGTATCTGGTAAGAAAAAAAAAACTAGATTCAAGAAATTGATCATACCAGAATAAGAATATGGTCTACTATTAAAAGACAAATTTCTGAGAAAAACCATACTTAGATCTGTAACATTATTGACTCTCCCGATCAAAATATTCTCTAAATTATAATTAAATACCATAGACTTATCTATAAAACTGGATCACCCGATATTTATATATATATATATATATATATATATATATATATATATATATATATATATATATATATATATATATACATGGGACCAAATGTGAAAAACGTCCTTTTTTTATTATAATAATTGTAATGTAATTATATTGGAAGTGAATTGAAAAAAATTATTTTATTATTCAAACATAAATAAACAAAGTTAGGTAAAATTGTGTTTGTTTTAGTATCATGACGTGTGAGGCTGTCCAATGATTACTCGATTACCGCAAGGCCGAGATAATCAACAAAAAAAGAAGATGTATTTGGTGACTTTTCTAGTAACTTTCTTGAGTGTGAATCTGTCTTTTTGGTTTACTCCTCCTGGTTAAAAAACAGAGTATAGTACAGTCGCACCGCACAAAAATCATAAAGTATGTTTTGATAATTGGTTTAACAGCCCTAACCTACAAGTTTATCTTTCACAAAATGGTTTGCTGCCCTTAGGGACAGCTAGAATTAACAGAGTAGCCAACTGCCAAATGCCTACACCAGAAGAGTTAAAAAACATGGTCGAGGTACTATGGTAGAAAAAACTGCTGTTATAGATGGAGTAGAAATCTCTTGTGTTTGTTGGTACGACAACAAACTAGTTACCATGCTCTCAACATACGTAGGTAGTTCTATTACTTCCAGAGAGCGCTATTTTCGAGAAGCCAAAGAACATCGTGAAATTCCTTGTCCTAAATCAATAGATGTTTATAACAAGCATATGGGAGGAGTTGGTCTATTGGATTCCATGCTAGGGGTCTATAGGATTCAGTTACGTTCAAAAAAATGGTACAAGAAAATATTTTTTCACCTGTTGGACATGTACATTGCGAATGCATGGTTCCTGTGGCCCCAAAAGAGTGTAAATTATATACCATTATTTGACTTCAAACAATATATTGCAGAAAATTTATGCAAGGTGGGCAAGAATAGTTTGCCAAAGAAAAGGGGTCGACCATTATCAAATGTTAATTCACCAAGCAGTTCCATAACTGAAGCAGAAACTCCCAAATCCAAAAAGCAGTTTAGTTTGCGTCAAGTGTAATTCAAAGTTAAAAACCGTGGTACATTGGACTAAAAGAGCTATCTCCATTTCAGTACATATTAACACTTACAAACAACATATTTTTGATTTTTTTACATATGAGTTGATTAATATATTTAACATTGGTAAAATTGCATCTGCTTCAAATTAAGATATTTTAAATCCTATTCATGTGATTCATAATGTATGAATCAGATGGAATGTATCTTTCGATTTTATTATCAACATCAGCTTTGTACTATGATACGTAACTTACATTTTAATTGATTGTAAACAACACCTCAAAAGTGTTTAATATATAAAATTTTCTACTGATTACTCAATGTAAAATGTCAACCAAATAGTTATAGAATATCGGGCGTGTAGAATATCGAAAATCCCGAGGTTTACCAATATGTACATCGTAGAAAAAAATGTTTAAAATAAAAAATATAGCATTGAGAGAACGGTTCATTCTACAGAAGTGCAAATAAACATATTTGTTAAAAATTATCTCAGCTACATTTATTGTTTTAACTATTTTTTCCTACAGCGTACAGATTCTTGGTAAATCGATGTGTTTTCGATGTAGGAGTAGCAAACATTTTTGCTTCTTTTGGGGTCCCGAAATTGACATTGTCAGCAAAATCCAGCTTGTTCGTATGATTTTTGGAGGTTCAGTGGAATTTCGTCTCTGACGACTGGAGTATAACGTCATTGTTTATGTAAAAACATCTAAAAGTCCTATAACATTCTAAAATATTTACGAGTACAAGTATATAAAATATAAAAGCTCTATCATATTCTGCCTGTAAAAGTGATACATGACAACTTTACATTGTGGTTATTTCGACATAGAAAATAACGGTAGAACAAAGTTGGCCTTTTTTCTTCTTCCTTTCTATAAGAAATTCTGCTTGTTGTTTGGCGAATTGATATCTTTATGGAAGGCGATCACTCCATCTTTGCGGGCTCAGCCGATTCCTCTACTACTTCTACTTGGTGATTTAACTTTTACTATTTTGAGAACTGTGACCTTCATTCTATTTATGTGATTATTCCATCCTTATTTTCTGTTTAGTATCATCGTTTATACTCTGTACGTTACATTTTCTTTCATGTCCTCACTCATCTTTCAGTCTCTCTGCATATTTCCTGTAATTTTTCTTAGTGGTCTTTGTGTTATGGCTGTGTTGGGTCTTCTTTCTGATTCATAAGTTATTACTGGTCCTTATACTGGCTTTATATATTCTTGATTTCATCTCAGTGTTATATGTCGGTTTTTCAATATATTGTTATTAAACAACACAGTTATTTGCTTATATGTAATGCTTTATCTTTGAAAAAATGTCTGTAAGAAGATCCAGTTCCATAGTTCCTGGATGACTAATACAACATTAAGGAAATGGTTTGATTACAATTTAGTCGTATAAGAAAATACCCAGTAGCAGTTTCCTCCCTAACTCGCAAGTTTAAAATTAAGGACACAACATATTAAAATCTTTTTTCGTCTGCGCATGGATGTAAGTCTGCGAGTTTTTAAACTTTTGGTACTTTCACATAAACCAAGACAAAGTGGAAAGACGATGTAGACGAGAACGCGAAGAAGATTGGAGCGGCAAATTGTCAGCGATCGGCGATGGATAGGAACAACTGGTGAAACAGATTAGGTCCTGACTCAATTAGGGCTGTAATGTCAGTCATGGTGATATTAGATATATCTATCTTTAAGGCTGAGAAATAACAATGAATAAATATAACGAAGTTTTACTTATTTAGAGTTTTTCAAAAGAATGAGTAGAGAGAGAAAAATTTAAAGTGGGATAGTTCCCGGGAGTTGGCTCTATACCATAGTAGTTAAAAGAAAAAAAAAAAGGTTTAAGTGCCTATCGATTACAAGTCAAAAACTTTAGTAGTTTCCTCCTAAAAAAATTCTTGCTTTATTATAAAAATGTATACTAGGTCATTTTTTGCGTATCATGATTAATTTCTATATTTCTTATAATTAAAATTATTCTTTGTTTATTTCAGATGTGCCAGCATCAGAACAAGAAGAACTATTCATACGTAAACTTAGACAGTGCTGTGTAGCATTTGATTTTATGGATCCAGTGGCAGATCTAAAGGGCAAAGAGGTGAAAAGATGTACCTTGAATGAATTGGTGGATTATATAACTGGAGGACGGGGTGTTCTTACTGAGCCTGTTTATCCAGAAATTATTAAAATGGTAAGTAGTTATATAAATAATGGCATTAACAATTTTTCTTTTAGGTAGAACATTTAAATATATGTATTAATAGAACAATGAGTAATGCATTGTCATGTTTCTTTATTCTGTTAGCTTCTTACCTATTTAGTTAAAGTGCAATGTCACTAACTATTATCATGATTTCTCTTCATTGTTGAATTTTTGTACATTATGTGTCTTTATTCTTGCTTTTATTTTGAATGCATGTTCTCCTTGACGTTATAAGCTTTACTCATCTGAATCTAAAAAGGTCAGCACAGTTGCGCTTAGAAACGGGTGCTTCTTCCAATGGCACTACAGCCCAAATAAAGCATTGGTTTCTTGTAATTTCTGACTCCAATATTGACGTCCATCAAGTTTTACGTGTTTCACATCTTTTCCGCGGTCTCTCTGTTGGTCTTTGCACTATATTTTACTATTTAGGGCTCCTCTAGCAATCGATCGTATATGAGTTTCTCATATTATATATTCAGGCATTCTACAGTATTCACTGCCTTCCCTTGCTCAACCGTTTCCATCTCTCTCTGTTGTCCCATTCTCCATCGTTTAGGCCTCTCTTACTTATGGCGTTGTCTACTTCGTTCCTCCAGGATCTTCGGGGTCGTCCTCTTTTCCTCCTTCCTATGGGGCTCCATTCGGTTATTCTCTTTATCCATCTGCTGTCGCTAGTTCTTCTTACATGTCCATACCACTTTAGTCTTTTTTTTTCTATATGTTAATGTGTCTGTTTCTATTGATGTTCTTTGCTTTATTTCGTCATTACTTCTCCTATCCATTCTTGTTACTCTGCAGCATCTTCGCAGGCATTCCATCTGTGTAGCTACAATCTTTACAATCTTACTGCTGTTTTTCTTGTTTATAATACAATTTTCAGCCCCAGTCATAATACTTCGCACTAATGTTTTGTAAATCTGTGTTTTTGTCTTCATATTTAGGTGTCTATCCCACCATACTGAGCTAAGTTGTCGATTTGCTGTTCTTGTTTGTCCTAATCTTTGCGTCATTTCTTCCTCTGTTTTTGCCTTTTTCGTGATTATAAACCCCAAGTATTTAAATTTATCATTTCCTTTGATTGTTACGTTGTCATCAATCTGTAGATCTTTTATGTCTTCTTCGATTGTAGATAGGTACTCTGTTTTCGCAAGGTTAATACCCAGGCCAGCCTTGGTATATTCTTCTTGTAGTTTCTTCATCATGTAGCTGAGGTCGTCTTAACGTATATAGGTGACCCATCCGTACCGGTACTCCCATGCCTTCACATTTTATTTTTTCATGTATTCAAGGATTTCTATAAGTATATTTTGAATAGGGTTGGAGACGTGGAACAATCCTGCAGAAGCACTTTTGTTGTCGTGAAGTCTCCTATGATTCTTGTTCCCACTTTAATGGACACTTTATTTTCTTTATACAGAGCTTTTGGAGTTTCTCAAACCTAGCCAATTCGGTTAAGGTCATGTGTACAGTAGATCAATATGTCTCATTTTCGTTGATTAATTAAAGATGTTTCTTGATGATGGTTTTGTAGGTCTTAATTTTAGAGTTTCGGTGTATGGTTTTGGATCTGAATATGTAAGTCAGCAGAATGTATTCTTTGTTGCTATTCATTATTCTTTTTTGAATTTCATCCTTTCTCTCTATGTTCTTTGACATATTCTTCTACTCTATTTGGTTTCTATTTCCTTACGTGTTTTTGTCGTTTTTATGTTGAGTTCTAGTCCAATTTCCTTGGCTGCTCTTTTTCAGTTGTGAATATATTTGCTTATCCTCGTCTTCAGCCTTCGTCTCAGCGAAAAACTATGTGTTAATGTCATCGGTGTTGATTTATTTGTTAGAAGATTAGCTTTTCCTACATTCAGCTGTCTTATGACATATTTAAGAGTCAACAGTGAACAAGTGAGAGTACACTGTCGGAGCCAGGAGCCAGCACATCTTCGTTTTAGACCTTTGATTCACTGCTCAACAAAATTCATTTTTTTGTCACATGGATAGAATACCATTAGAAAGCTGAAAACAAACTTGGACTTTTTCTATCATCCATACTTTATTTGCTATAGTATGGTATAGTATTGGTTCGCTTACCGTAAAATATTGTGGCAGATATTTTACGGCGATACTTATTTTCTGTGGCTTCACGAATGAACGTCCAGCAGTAATCGGCCAGCAGACTAGAACCAATAGCTAAAACTGTTCAGTTTGGTTCCAGGCAGTTTAAATACTGGAAATGTAATATTTTTTAATCCGGTATAAGACCAAGAACTTCTTGTGCGATTGCTTGAGTTAGGGCAAATATCTCCACACACTTAATACATGTGTCTTCCTCTATCAAAATTCAACGTTCACCTTTTGATCCTTCAGGTAACGGTCCAAATAAGTCGATGGCAGGTGTTACGAAACGTTGCGCGTATAAAGGGCTTTGTAACAATTAACCTGGTTTCTGGTTAGAAACCTTATATATTTGACAATCTAGGCATTTATCAATATAATCAGCGACAAAACGGCGCATGGCTCGAAAGACGAATTTTTGAGCAATTCTTCTCAAAGTAAATTTATGCCATAATGACCAGTAATTGAAGCATTATGATATTTTTTTATAATGGCTTCATGTTAATGTGTGGCTACTACTAATTGAGAATCTTCTTCGTTTTCTTCTGACGAGTAGCGCTAGAGTACTCCTTCGGTGAGCAAGTATCCACGATCCGTTTACATATTTATTCGAATTTGGGTCCTCGAATGATTGGATAATTTTGGTGGAAGTTGTCCTAAATATTTTACTTTTTCGCGAGCAAATACGCCCTTTTTCGATTTGCCCGAAGATTAAGCGGATTAGTGTATCAAACACAGCTTAAGTTAATTTAAATGTTTATCAAATGTGCAAGTATCATATGCTCCTTTATTTCTGTTTCCTTAATATATCTCCTTTAGTAATAAAAGTAAATATAGAGTAATTCATTTCATTTATACAATGAAAATGTTAAGTGTAGTATGAATTTAGTTAGAGTTGTCCTTTGAATTGATTAAAGTTCTTATCAATTCCTCATAATTACTTATTCATCAAACCGTAAATAATATTTAAATAAAATTGTAACAAAACAGCAACTCATCTTGAATAATAAACAGTTCTTGGGAGATTTTTATGTCATTAATACTAATTCTTTTGCATTTTAATTGTTTTTATTTATTTTTATATGAAAAATTTGATAAAATATTAGAAGTCTTAGGGGGTCTAATACAAGAAATAAAAAACTTAAAATGGTACATAAAAATTTAAAGCTGAACAAAAAGAATTTAGGGATGAAATTATAAACATACACAAGTAACCTGGACCTCTCCTAATGGAAGAACAATGAGTCAGATTGATCACATCTTAATAGATTGAAGGCATGGAACAGACGTAATAAACTACAGAAGATATAGAGGCACAAACATAGACTCTAATCATTACCTAGTAATCTCAACATTGAGGTCTAGAATTTCTAACACCAGTAAAGAAAATAAAATGGATAGAAAAAAATGGAATATGCAAAAGCTGAGATTGCAGAACGATACTCGGAAAACATCACCAACAGGCTAAGGAATCAAAATGTAAATGAAGAAGGCCAGACAGATATAGACTCCTACTGGACCAGAATAAAGGAAGACGTTGAAGCAGCAGCGAAAGATGAACTAGGAACAGAAATTTGTGTCCGTAAAAATCATTGGGTTGACGATGAATGCCAGTATTTAACAAAAGAAAAAATGAAGCCTACACAAAGATGCAAACCCGACAAACTAGAACAGCTGTAGAGAAATACCAGACAAAGAAAAGAGGATACACAAAAGAAAAAAAACGAAACCACCTAAATACATAACTTAAATATACAGGGTGTTTCAAAAAGGTATGTCATAACTTAAATCACGCATTCCGGGGACAAAAATAAATTGATTGAATCCAACTTACCTTAGTACAAAAGTGTACTCAAAAAAGTTACAGTCCTATGAAGTTAGAAAATAAAAATTGTTTTTTACATTATCTCCTAAACTACTTGGCATTTTGTAATAAAAATGGACACGTTACTTTCTTGTTCTAAAAGTATTTTTCATAAAATGCAGCCCTAAATCCCCCCAAACTTTTGAGTATGTTCAAATCAAATGAATTTTGTGGCATCATTAGTTTAACACATGATTTTTAAAATTTTTTTGTCTTTTATCACTTTTATCAAAAAACAGTTGTTATTGAGTTGCGGACCTTTTCAGTAACCTTTAAAAAGTTACGTACAACTAAATAAATAGCTTAAATGATTTAACAAGTATAAAAAATGTATAACCTCTATAAACATGATATTACTATAAATGTTCAAAATGACCCCCATTTTCTTCAATACACATTCGGTATCGCTTTAATAAGGAAAACCGAATGCGTTGAAAAATTCATATTTTTCTGACGAAATTGATTTGCAGCTTCAATTATTTTAACCCTCAATTGTTGTTCATCCTCTATTGTTACAGAATACACTTTCTCTTTCATAAACCCCCAAAAGCAAAAGTCCATGGAACTTCTGGACGAAATAGATACGCCACGATCCCTTCCAATCCACCGACCAGGATACTGCCTGCAAAGGTATTCCCGGACTTCATTACTGTAATGCGGTGGAGGGCCATCTTGTAGAAACTACATATTTTGCCTTATTGCAATATTTACTTCTTCCAAATACTCTTGTAAATCGTTTGCCAAGAACTGCAAATAATTATCAGCATTTAAATTGTTGGGAAGAAATACTGGGCCTGTAAGATTGTTATTCGCAATTCCTGCCCAAACATTAACTTTGGAAGTCCTTTGGTGATGAGTCGTTTTTTTTTTGGCGTGAGGATTTTCGTCGGCCCAAATGTGCTCGCTATGATGGTTTGTTATTCCATTTCTACTGAAGGTAGCCTCGTCGGTAAACAAAATATTTCTAATAAAATTAACATTTCGAGTGTTTTACATTAACAACCAATCGCAA